GGCTTGCCCTCTGAGTGGTGCGCGGGGGGCCGCCCTGTGCCCGCCACAATGCTCGGACGCTGGGCGGCCATGGGGTCCAAGGCCAGCGGTGTCGGCAACGGTTGGCCCGGCATGCCGCGGCTACCTGGGAACCGCAAAAGGTGAATAATAATAATTATAATAATGACAACAACAATAACAATAATAGATTGCATTTATATGTATATATTTTTTTTATATAGTAGAGGGTTTTACGGCGCTCGCAACTGCATAATGTCATATGAGCGCCAAGGGGTGGGTGTCAACAGAGAAGTCCTTACAGGGAATCAGACTTACTCTGCTCACCTCTCTAGCTTCAACAGCACAAAGTCTGCTTCGACTATCAAGGCATCCCGGAAATAGCAGGTCACAAGAGAGTGACAAACATAAAAAAGAAGTAGAGGATAACGACAATAGTAAGGATAAGGAAAGAAAAAGCAGCAGTTCCCTGCTGTAGATCAGGCACAGTTATGAGCGTGACATGAGTCAGCCCATTTACAATTTTACTAAGCTTGAACGAGAAATGTCCCCCCTTTGGGAACGGCCTAAAGACACTTCAGTCAGTGGCACAGCCCCGTGGGGTGAGATAAGATACATCTTTATTGTCCAGATCCTGGCACATTCGTTTGGTGTTTCACCACAAGTACACACACACACACACACACACACACATAATAATAGATTGCATTTATAGGTGAGACCTGCTGACAAAAATTAAAAACTGAAATGATTGCTCAGCATCCCTGTCTACAAAAACTAAAAACTGAAATGATTGCTCAGCATCCCAGTCTACAAAAACTAAAAACTGAAATGATTGCTCAGCATCCCGGTCTACAAAAACTAAAAACTGAAATGACTGCTCACCCTGAGGCCACACGGAAGGCTGTGGCTTGTCGTCGCGCGCGCTGTGAGGTGATGCCTTGCCTCTCGCATCCACGCCCTGCCCCATCATGTACACCATGCTCTGGCCACTCACCACCGCCATCTGGTGGCGGGGGTCAAGGCCGCCGGGCTGCGGCTGCCGCTGTGGCGGGGCGTGCGGGTGAGACGGGGTCAGGTCGCGACCCGCGCCCCCCCGCGGGGACAGCCCTTCCTCCCGCTCACCCTTCTGGCCGCGCGGCATCTGCTGGGCGGTGTAATAGTCTGACATGATGGTGGCCCGCGAGCTGTAGGGCAGGTTCGGCTCCGCCTGCGAGTACGGCGAGCCTTGCGGCGGGTACTGGCCCTGCTTCGCGTACACCGCCTGCTGCTGTTGTTGTTGTTGCTGCTGCTGTTGCTGCTGCTGCTGACGGTACTGGCCACCCTCATACACTGCCGGACCACCGTGCGGGCCACGGTAGCTCGGGTCCAGCGGCATTCTCGGACCACCTCCTCCTTCCTGGCCGGCAGTCGTCCCCGGAAGCCCCGCACGGCCCATTTCCCGCACGGGCGTGCCTTTGGTGATGGAGCCTTGCTGCGCCGGCGCGGACACGGGCTGGCGCACCATGCTGGCCATGGGGTGGGACGGGGCGGGCGGGACCGACGGGTGGTGGGACACGGGGGTCCCACGGGTGATCGAGCCGGGGATCAGCATGTGCGAGCTGGAGGGAGGGGAGCGCGCCTGCTTCGGCGACGACCTCTGACCGCTGTTGGTGATGAGCGGAGGCACGGGGGGCATGCGGCCGGCCGGGGAGTAGCGCGAGGGATCCATGCCGTGGGGGTAGGGGGAGGAACTCTGGCTGGGAGGGCCGCGGACGTTGGGCGAGTGCGACCTTGAATCCACCTAGAAGGAAAAAAAAACATTTTTTAAAATAAAAATCGACCGATGAGTGAAAAACTTTTCTTCCACACAGTGTTTTAGTTTAGGAAACAGTTTTACGGCAACACAGTAAGGTCATATAAATGCCGAAGATTGCTGAAGAAGGAGGGGAGACAGAGACGGTATAATTGTTTTAGGAAAGAAGGAGCAAACCACACCAGAGCACTAACCCACACAGGTGGAACTTGCTGTAACAGATACCTTCTTCTTTTTAGACAAACACCTGTAGAAACAGTCACTTCCCATTTCCTTCCTTGCTATTTTTTACATAGCAATGACACAGCTTAAGACAGCCACCCATCTAACACGGGACACTTTTTCAAATGTCAAATGACAACGGGCAGTCGTCTTCGACAGCGTCAAGGGTATTTTAGTTTTAGTAAGTGTTTTACGGCACTTGCAACACAATAAGGTCATCATATAAGTGCCGAAGATTAGAGGTGTTACAAGAGAGTAACAAACATAAAAAAGAAAAAGGGGAGATAAGGACGATAGATGTTTGATAGGAAAGAAGAAGCAAACCACACCAGAGCACTCGCCAACCACACCAGAGCACCCGCCAACCACCCACAACGAGTGTATAATAAGACTTCATTTCACACTTATCTGCATAGCCCACAGAACAAAAAAAAACAAACAAACAAAAAATATTTATTGAGAAAAGTTTCACCCTTCGTATTATTATCTGTGGGTGGTTGGCGGGTGCTCTGGTGTGGTTTACTTCTTCTTTCCAGTCAAACATCTACCGTCCTTATCTCCCCTTTTTCTTTTCTATGTTCGTTACTCTCTTGTAACACCTCTAATCTTCTGGCGCTCATATGACCTTATGCAGTTGCAAGCGCCGTAAAACTTCTATTAAAACTAAACTAATATTATTATCTATTTATATCATACTCTGATTGGTGTCAAGAAATAATATAGTTCCTAAACCTGAAACAAGGAGACGAAGACCCTTTAGACAAGTCACATACCCGGAAAACATTTGTACGTGTTTTAGCGCCTATAAATGGCTGCTTGCACAGTATGCTTCCCATGAAGTTGAGGTTGTTTCAGAATTCTCTCAGGTCTACTGGGATAATAGTAGAGATCGTGAAGCACATAGAGCTTGCTGTTGAGCGGGGATTTGCACAATACAAATTAATGCTATCTATTATTATTAGCAGTAGTAGTAAAAGTGCCCGTTCTACGAACGGAATAATAATGAAGACGTACGCACATGCCATTGATTTTTTTAAATGCCTCGGAATAAAAGTGTGGAGAGCCATAAATTCTTGGTGGCAGTATGACTTTTCTACCTACATTCACAGAGTCTCCGGCACGTGCTGGGCGGCGAGGTTCCCTATTCTTGCAAGCTAGGAATCGTAGGAATCGACTCCGAACCCAATTACTAACTTTCTAATGATGTGATTTTTTTTTCGATGGTTACCCGGTTGGCTCCGGACATCTTCGGGATTTAGGATGGCCTTGATTTTGGAACACTACAAAGCATCAACTTTTATTTTTCCAAAAAAAAAAATCTAAAAAAAAAAAAAA